CTTATATTCCAAACACAGTGGGAGTTATGTATGTTTTAGTGAAGCAGTGTCAGTTTTCACTTCAACCGGGACGGGGCATTTTGTGGGATTTTTAGCCAATGTTCATGGAACCTCTTGGAATGTCTCAAAATGATTAGATTAAGTTGTATTCACCTTGTTTGACTTGTTTAGAGTCAAGTTTCTCCTTTTAATTATGAATTGACCTTTTTGCCCCTTTGATGACGAATTTTGTCCTTTTTGACCTTTGTTTCCGTTTTTGTCCTCTTTAAGTTCTGTGACCTCATGTAGGGTTACATTTGCGTCTTAGGAGTAACTCCTATCTCTAGAGACCTTGGTTTACCTTTAGCTTCCGTAATTCGGATTCGTTATCGGATCACTTTCGGTTTATCACTGACGCACCGGGTTGAAAAACTTGGGCCGTCACAGGAAACATCTTCATTAGAGAAATATAATTTGATTTTTTTATAGGAGAGACATATTTATCAAAAAAATTATAGGAGAGACAGGTAGTATATGTTCTAACCAAGTTTGTTATCAAATCACCATTGCAACCATAAAAAAAGTTGATGAGTTAAGGGAATGGGAATTATGTACTTGGATCCTACAGTTATAATTAGGACTGCCATGATCAATCTTCTCTACTATGAACACATCTAAGATAATTTTATGAACTGAATTCTAGAGCCTCTTCTGTTAGGTTAACTGAGGCCAAATAATTAGATTTTATCCTTCTCCAAATATTTACTTGTCGGGAAATTCTTCTTACCTTCTTTCTCTCATTACTATTATCTCACTGAGAAGATAAACTTGCTAATATCATTAATCATTTTTCAGGTGCACTGATTAGAGGTACAATCCTATTATCCTAGTTTTCTTAACCTCTTGCAATGGCTTCATCAGCAGGGATAGAGAAAGCAGTTTCTTAAATCCATGCCAGTAAAAGCATAAACGTCAAACCGAAAGCATCTCAGCAAAATCCGTAATTTTGTCCTATATATATTGTAAGATGACATCACGCTTCCTATTATGCCGTACTTGCTATAGCTGTCATACAGATATTATACAAGAATCATCTCAACCACACATTTAGTATCAACAGCTGCCAATGTTCTACCCACATTGACCAACATAAATTACAAAACTACCCTCGTTTGAACTTCGAACAACACTGAATGGACCAAAATATCTTTCATATAACCAACACAAGACATCTCTTTTTATATATATACTCTATGGCAATATACATCTACACATATATAATATAGGACCAACTGAAGTTACTGAACAACAATATAATTCAGAGAGGAGAGAGAATAGAATGACCCTGGTTGAATTAGGGTTCAATAAACTTGGTTACACTATGAATATGATGATATAAGGTTAGATACACAGACTTGAATATCTAACCTTACAATTCTATTAGACTTGAATATTGGGAAATTCTTCTTCCCTTCTCTCTCCCACTACTATTATCTCACTGAGAAGATAAACTTGCTAATATCATTAATCATTTTTCAGGTGCACTGATTAGATGTACAATCCTATTATCCAAGTTTTCTTAACCTCTTGCAATGGTTTCACCAGCAGGGATAGAGAAAGGAGTTTCTTAAAACCACGCCAGTAAAAACATAAATGTCGAATGGAAAGCGTCTCAGCAAAATTCTTAATTTTGTCCTTTATATATTGTACGACAGCATCAGGCTTCCTATCATGCCCTACTTGCTTTAGCTGTCATACAGATATTATATAAGTCAACCGCACTTTTAGTATCAACAGCTGCCAATGTTATAGCCACCTTCAAAGGACATCCAATGCCTCCAATGTATGTGCAAGTGCATCAGTAAAGCACCACATTATGCCTCGAGTACATGAATTCTATATGCTTGAGCATAGGAGCACATGGTAAATTATTTGGACCCTCTCAAACCCAAATGATTATCCAATATTTAAATTTAATACCTCGGTCAAGATTTCCATATGTTGATTCCTTTTTCTTTTCTTTTTTTCTTTTTTCTTTTTTGGGTGTGCTGGGGAGGCAAATTACACTTACCTCTTCTGAGGTTTGCCAAAATAAGACATTCTTGCCCTCATTGACCAACATAAATTACAGAACTACCCTCATTTGAACTTTGAACAACACTGAATGGACCAAAATATATGTCATATAACCAATGCAAGACATATCTTTCTATATATATACTCGGTGGCAATATACATCTACACACATATATATAATATACGACCAACTGAACGATAATATAATTCAGAGAATAGAATGAACCTAGTTGAACTAGGGTTCAATAAACTTGGTTACCCTATGAATATGATGATATAAGGTTAGACCTTAAAGTCTCAAGAAACAGTGCTCCAATGGGAAGACCGTGTGGATGAGGCTTTGGCAAAAATGGCCCAAACACCCATGACTGAAGCCATAATGATCCGAAGCTCCTCCATCTTCAATAATTTAGAGGGATAAACTAGACATGTGAAGTCAAATAAGTGGGATTCGAGGGAAGGGTTTTAAGAGGTGGATCTTGCTAGAGAAATTCTAAGATGGGTCTGCTGAAGATGAGAGAGAGAGTAATTCTTGCAAATTTCACAAATTTCCTCATGTTTCTCCTAAACACCAATACTGTGTATTATAAGAGAGAAGAGAAAGCGAGGTACACAAGGAGAGAGAAGAGGGAGGTTGTATATAGTATATACTGAAGAAGAGTAAGTCCTTCAGGTAAATTAAGTCTCATGGAGGGAAAAATAGTCTTTTGGGTTGTGTCAATTCTTGTCAAGTTTTATTTAAAGAAATTCAACTAATTTAAGAGTAAAAAAGTCATTTTACATGTATTGTTAACGACTCCAACAAATCTTCTGACAAGGGAGCGCCTTGGTATTTTGGCAAACCTCAGGGAGGTGGGTCTAATTTACCCTTTTTTCTATTGATTCTTCTTTCGTATGCAATATCTGAACCATCTAATCACACATAACCAAATGTGCTATTTCAATTTCTTAAACCTCATTTTTCACTATTTCTCGAGTACTATAACTGAATGATAACATATGCAAGAACAAAGAATAACAAAACAAATAAATTATGAGTCCATGATATCAAAATAATATGTTTCCACAAATATGCTTCAATGTAAGAAAAGCATTAGATATTTTTTCCTTTCCCAACTTCCAAAATCAAATTCTAAGTATCGATGATCCTAACAACTGAAAGCAATGGAAAAACACAGAAAACACTGGATGCATGCATTAAAATTTAAAAAAGTCCATAGCATTTGTAAACAACCAAGAGGAAATATCATTGTCCTACGCAATATGGTTTCCAATTAAGCCATCAGAATCAGTTTTTTTTTATAAAAAAAAAAAAACACAAAAATAAATATCGGTGGCTAAAAACCCATATGATTGAACCTTTTGACTAACTAGGTTTCTGTATAACAAGTCAGCTCTGATTGAACATCAATGTTTTCCCAACCATATCCAAATGTGACACGACTTTGAAAACTAAGGATCACATACAAAATTATGGCTCAAAATCAAGGAGGTTTTAATAACCACGTGCTCAAAATCAAGGAGGTTTTATTAACCACATTTAATGAACCATGATACTTTTGAAGAGATTTAATGATACTCTTGGATCATGACATATAAGGATTGTTCTAAACAGCATGATGTCTTAAATGCTTGAGTATTTTCTTAAAATAATCTTTTACTTTTAAAAAAGAAAATGCTTGTGTATTCCTTCACAAAGAAATATTGTTGTGTGGAGCAAGTGTTTATTTAGCTGCTGATTCTAAATGAAGTTTGCTAAACTTATAAATAGTCGATGCATAAGAAGCATTGAGTACTGGAATATGGAAATGAACTCTACTTTAAAATGAGATTTGGTCAAGAATGTGCCTAGGAAATGATAGAAACTGTCTCAAAATTGTAAGCTTTCTTCAAGTTGTGCTGCTGAACGTAGAAGGAAAAGAACTATGCAAGGACAGTATGTTGTTTAGTAATTTCCCTAGCCTTTGCTAAGAGATGCTCTTGCAGTTATCCATGAAAAAACAGAATAGCAGCGCAGAGGATGACACTGGCTATTTGGATCTTGATGCTATCATGTCAATTCTCTTATTTCAAATATCTGGTGGTATAATTTACTAAATTATAGTTAATTTCAGAAAGAAGCGTGTAAAAATGATTTATACCAATCCTATAAGTATCAATGCTGTAACAATACACAAAGAAAAGTATACAAAATAGTCAGATTCAAATTAGATAGTTCTTGATATTCTAAAAATATTTCTCCAGATTGTATATTGGCTCTGTATGATTACAAGAAAATGGAATATCATCATCATCCTTGCCTTTATACCATATGGATGGGGTTGGCCACATGAATTCTATTTTTCCCTTCTTTCCTGACGTGTACCATATCTTCTCTTAGATTTAATTTTTTAAAAACGTTTTTTATTACTTCCTCCCATGTAAGTTTTGGTTGGCCTCTTTGTTGCTTACCTTCTAGACAAACAACCCTTCCTCTTTTAACCGGCGTATCACCAAGTCTACAATGAATGTGACCATACCACCTAAGTCTACTTTCTCTAATTTTATCGTTTACAGGCGCTATACCTAGTGTTCCCCTCACACGTTCATTATTAATCTTATTTTTTCTAGTTATTCTTATCACCCATCATAGCATCCTCATTTCCACAACATAGATGCATTGTTCTTGCGTCTTTTTCAGCGCCCAACAGTCTGCTCCATACAATATAACTGGGCTAATAACCAAAAGGATGATGATGATGGGTGTATTAAATCAACATGATTTCTTAATTTGTTCAAAGAAAGTTCTATCCGTAGTTCTTTTTATTTATAGGAAAAATGTTTCAGAACAAAAGATATTAATCATGATTTTTTTATTATTATTATTGAAATGTAGATATTGGAATCATATTTAATGTACCAAAAACAAATTAATAAAAAATTAAAGAAGATTAAATCAACTATACCTGTTCCGGAGTCTTTTTATGTCTGTCTGCTATTTCTGCAACTACTGACAATTTCAACATTGGTCCATGTACTGATCTTGACCTACTGAATGATATGCGAGGAGTTCCAGGTTCATCTTCCCCACCAGATCCACTGTCAGATGGTCCAGGACTGGAAGTTGGTACTCCCAATGGTGTGTGTGCAGACACATGGATACCTTTTGATTGACAGAACTTTACAAGTTCATCTTGTCTCCAAAAAGGATGCAGCTCTACCTGGTAAAACACAATTTTGGTAGCATATGAGAGGCAAGTAATTAGATAATTTAATTACTTGAAGCTCAATTCCTATAGTTTGTTTTAATTAAAGAAAAATTGGAAAAAGAAAAAAATTGATAAAATTTACAAGGGATGTTCAGATAGACAAGACAGATCTAATACAAGTAACAAACACTATAAAGTATCATCATTTTGGGTAAAAAAGGGTGCATATAGATGACAGTGCAAAAAATCATATTTTATGAATTAAAAGAAGATAAAAAGGAAAGGATATTGAAATAGTTCACCCTTAATGATGGTTCATCTTTTAGAAAAAACTTACAGAGACTAATTTTGATTTTTGAGGACTCACCCATCCTAATGATGAATTTCTCCAACAACCAATTGCCACAAAACAATATATAGTATATATGGCTTGATTCCAGTTCAGCTCTATCAGCACCCCAAATTGATGGACCTCTAACTAGGTGATGGCCTTTGGGGTAACTTCCAAGATGGTGACATATGTACTGGATTGCTTCTACTCCTTCAAGTATGCAATACTGCAACTGTCAGAGTTGCAGGCACTCCATACAATGGCCAAACAGAAGGCACCTAAGTCAATTGCAAGTGAAGTCACCAGTTTACTAGGCTGGTGAAGTTTGAGTGTGTTCTTAGAATTATGAAAAAAAAAAAAAAAAAAAAAAAAGTATGTTATTTAGACCACCCACTGCAATGAGCATCTTCATATCTAGCCTAAAGTGAAAATTTGTGGGAAAATATGATTTGTTCAGATGGGAACAATGCTGTAAAATGACGAATTAGCTGCAACATAGAAACCATATCGTTTGACCAAAATTTACATGAGAAAAACAGGCAGGTTGATACACATGTACTTTCTCGTTTCTAGATTTTAGATTTTAGACTTACATTATTTGCTGCAAAACAAAGAAATGTCCAAGGAGGAATACTTCATTGCATCTTTGAGAACAAAATCAAGTCAGACAACTTGCCAAGGTTGGTCATTGTATTTTTGAACCTACTACCTAGTAGGTCTAACCGACCAATTAATTTAATTGATAGTGGAACTCTGTAATAAATCAATGCTAGACAAGATTTACTGCAAAATGAAAAAATATAACTTATTTTAAAATTGAACAACAATATTGATCCAACCTGATTGACTGCAGGTACAACTTTTGCAAATTTAAGCAACTCTTTGATCTGCTGTATGCTAAAATTGCTTACTCCAATAGCTCGAACAATACCCAATCCAACCAGACCTTCCATTGCTTTCCAAGTTGTCTTTAGCCGATTCAAAAATTGCCTGTACTCATTTCCTGACTTTGAAGGGGGATCAGTGGCATCACCGAATGCCGAGCTCTCAGGCCAATGCATCAAATAGAGATCCAAGAATGATACTCCAAGGTTCTTAAGAGAGACCCTGACAGAGTTTTCAATTTTATTGATCGAATTCATAGTACAATAGAGCTTAGAAGTCAAGAAAACATCCTCCCTCTTCAAAGAACCTCTAAAAGCTTCAGCCAGTGCTTCCCCAACTTCAATCTCATTCCCATAGAGATGGGCACAATCTATATGCCGGTAGCCAACCGACAACGCCGTTTTTACGGCTTGAACGCAGAGGTCACCGCCGCTCTGCCATGTCCCAAGTCCTATGGATGGGATTTTGGCTCCTGTGTTCAACAGAAAGTGACTTCCTGGTGTCCCAACTTTTCCTTTCATGGCCTCAACCTTCTCAAGAAGAACAAATTGCAACACACAGGAAAGGGAAAAACCAGCAAACCCCAAAACTCACAGCTATGGATGGGTATTCAGACCAAAACCATCCAAAACCCAAGGAAGATTAACCAGAAATGTCAATGACAAATGCAAATCAAATGACAATCAAAGAATTGAATGCTATGGAAAACTTGAACAAACAAAAAAAAAAAAAAAAAAAAAAAGGTAAAACCCTGTTCAGATTAGATCAAAAAGGATTGATTTAGTCCAAAGGAAGAATCCAAGAAACCACTCGTGGTCAAAGAAGTACTACAACATAAATTACAAGAAAGCCCAATACTTGTTTGTTGATACATCTGAATGAAACCCAACAATTGTTTGATCATCACGATGCCTAATAATAAAATTAACAACTCCGTATTAAACCAAGTAGAAATAAGAGATTCAAAATAAACAAAGAACCCAACCTTTCTTTCCTGGAAAGCACCAAACACAGACCTGTTTGTTTGTTTGCTTGTTCTGTGGCTTTGTCTGTATAAATAATAGTATAGAGGAATGGTCATTTGGTCAACAACGGCGAGAGATATATAGAGAAAGCAAGAAACCCTCCAAAATACAATACAAATAATTGGCTGTAAAAATAAATAAATAAATAAAAATAAAAAACTGTTTCTCTCTCTAAATGTCTCTATCTTTTCACTTGGATGAGTACAAAAGACAATTATTATATTATCTTGTAGCGACAAATTTGATAACGTTTGTAGTGTAGTATCTGGTAATTTTAAGAAAACAAACAAAGAAAGTGGGAAAATATGACAAAGAATATATAAATAAATCAATAAATAAATAAAAAATAAAAAGAAAAAAGAAAAATTGAAGATTACCCACCTAATAATGAAGAATTGAAACTCACCCACCACCTAACTAACTTACAACTACATTCATTGACGGGAGAAATGATTCTCCAATTGAATTTGCTCTCTCAATTTCAACGTGCGAACCTTCTAGAAGGTGGACAATTGGCATTACAACATTCGTGATTAAGGCCAACATTACCGACAGACCTTTGATTCTGAGTGTTGGCCGCTAAATCAATCTATACATCTTTTACGGAGTATATGTCAAATACGGAGTATTCGTGTGTTTTTTTTTTTCATACTCATCAACATGTGAGACTCATTCAACAAGACGATATGATGTACAGTTACAATTATCAAAACTTGTGAAAAAAAAAAAAATATATATATATATATATATATACCAGTAAAGAGTTATTTTATAATTTTAATTAAAAATTATAGAGAATTATCAAAATAAATTTTATTTTTAAATAATTAATGAAATCAAATGTATTATTATTTTTTAAAAAATTAATAATTTTAAACCGTTAGTCATAATTGTAAATCATAAGTGATAAAAAAATTCTAATTACTTTTTTTACTTGGGTGTAAAGCTTTAATAAATTTTTTTATTTTTTTGCTTGGACAAGGTAGCTCTAGTGAACTTTTTACCACAATATAAGTTTAACAATGGAGTGATATTGGTAATGATAATTTAAACCTATTATTTGTGAATGTTGAATCGTGAATAACTGAAAAAATAGAGTATGAGATAAATATTGTGAAAAAAATCACAAATATAATTGAATTTGTGACTTTATGTACTTTGATTCCAACATATAAAATGGAATTAGGATAGTATGATCCCTTTCTTGGGTTGGGAGAGAATTCGATTTCAAATATAATTATTGATCAAAATTTTTATACAAACTATAAATACATCAAATTAAAAAATTAAAAGTTCTGACACAAAAAATTTGAAGAATATTGAAAAGAAATATATTGAATTTAGTGAACTATATTTTATTTAGTGAGAGATTAAATTTGTAACAGTAGAAAATAACATTACTTTCTGGACTAAATTAAGTAAAATCATTTAGAAATAAATAAAAACTTGTGTCAAAGTATAAAAATCTATATTTCCTTCTGAGTAAATTAAATTTATACTAATTCTTTGGTGAATGGAAAAATCAATGAGGAAAAGAAAATTTGAGAGATACTACAACGATTAGAACCCATGGGTCCAAACTGCTAACTGAGTCCTTACCCGAACCTGAAGTTACCTAAGTCAATACCATCAAGTCCAGTGTCGACACATCATTCTTACGTCTTAAATATGCTCCATGAAGACTCTAGGCAACATCCCAAAAATTAGGATTAGTCGTACCAAAAGAAGGAATAAGATGCACAAAGGATCAGCAAACCGGTCGACCGAAGTGGAGCTTCGGTAGTCCGAAATGATCCTATACCGATCGACCGAAATGGCCATACGGGTCGGCCAGTTGTGAGCTCCCAAATGACATGGCTATTGGAATTAAAAAAAAAAAAATGCAGCAGGTAAACCGAAATGCCCATTTCTGTCGACCGAAATGATCCTGCAAGCTGAGAAAAATGCAGTGAGCTACTATGAGTGTTAAAATGAATAATGGCCTTAGCAGGGATTTTGAAACTGATCTAAACCTATCCCAACACACTATAAAATGAAGAACCACATCCCATTCATTTAAAATTCAAAATTTACATATCCCTTACATAGTCCCAAAATCATCTACATAAGTTGTACCATAATTACATCAGGTTTACAATCTATGAAGCAAAATACAATTTACTAAAATCCATAAGTCTCATTACCAAATACAACAAGTTGATGTTCAATAGATTCATGTAACTTAGATACAAAGTAGCAAAACGACCATGTAATCCAAACTAGGCCTACGGTGGAACGTCGTTGTCTGCCACTTCTTTTTCCGAACCTGAAAAATGTTAAGATATTGGGGTGAGCATAAGTTCAGTAGGAGGTGCCTAAGACACACCTCTTATGATCCCATGAATCCATACAATGAATAGGAAATGATGAGATCATACCATACCGGGGAAAAACTTGACAACAAAATCAAGAACAACGAACCCAAGTCATAAACAAGTCGTACCATGCCATGGAATGCAATGTCACTCCCCGTTTCCAAAACCATTTTCGTCATCATTTTTAAACCGTTAGTGTAACCCGTCCTATGGCAACTCCATGGCGGCACGAGAGAAGGATTGGCTAACTATCATTGACTCATGGCAACTCCATGGCGTCATTTTAGTGAACTATATTTTATTTAGTGAGAGATTAAACTTGTAACAGTAGAAAATAACATTACTTTTTTGATTAAATTAAGTAAAATCATATAGAAATAAATAAAAACTTGTGTCATAGTATAAAAATCTATATTTCCTTCTGAGTAAATCAAGTTTATACTAATTCCTAGGTGAATGGAAAAATCAATGAGAAAAGAAAATCTGAGAGATACCTAGTATTATTTATTTTTATATTTTTATGTAAAATGTATAAATTGGTTATGTATTAAACTATAGGAATAATTTATAAAGAATTCTATTAAAATTTAATAGCAATTCACTATTAAACTTTTTATATATTTCCTTGTCTAATTAGATAAACTAAATTATTTATTTCCTTTATATATTTCCTTGCCTAATTCGGTTTCCTTTTATTAAAAAACTCATAATAATTAGGTAATTTGTGTTAAGAATTTTAAAGAGATAAAAACATTGATTATTAATTAAACTTTTTAATAGGAATTCAATTATTAAACTTTTTAATAGGAATTCATTATTAAACTTTTTAAATATTTTCTGTATATATTTCCTTGTCTAATTAGGCTTCATTTTATTAAAAAACTCATAATAAAAATTTCTTTAATTGTGAAAATTGAAATTTCTTTAACATTGTGCCTCAATGTATATAATTTTTTGACACTACATTTCTTTCTAATGCTCATTATTTTTGTTTTTTTTTTTATTTTTTATTTTGAAAAGTTAAATCAAATGTATGGATATAAAAAAATTTGTATAAAGACAGGCCTTAACACCATTTTTCTTTTTTCTTTTTTTCTTTTTTTGTAGATATATATATATTTATATCACAACTAAAAGCAGTCAGCAATCAATGGTGGTGACCGTAACATGACCAACATAGTTGCATCCATGCATTCATAGTGTTTTGAACTTTTTAGATGAAAAAATTATATGATTTAATAAGAATAATTTGATATTTTAAAATAATAATTTTGAGATTATTTTGGACATTAACAATGATTCTCGATGCATATGTAATTATTTTGTTTAATTCAACCAAAGTGAAAAATAAAGTTTTAAAATTGACTAATTTATACTTTTATGTAAGAAGTGTAAATTGGTTATGTATTAAATTATGGGAATAATTTATAAAGAATCCTATTAAATTTTTTAATAGGAATTCAATTATTAAAATTTTTAATAGGAATTCATTATTAAATTTTTATATATTTTCTTGTCTAATTAGAGAAACTAAATTATTTAATGTCTTCATCTATTTCCTTATCTAATTAGGTTTCCTTTTATTGAAAAAAAACTCATAATAAATAGGTGATTTGAGTTTTATAAAAACTCTTATAAACATCTTATATTAATTAAAAAATAAAAACTCATAATAAATAGGTAATTTGTGTTAGAGTTTTATAGAAACTCTTATAAAAACTCTTTTTTATATTAATTAATAAATATTTTTATATTTAAGAATGCACCAAAAATAAAATAAAAAATCAAAATTTTTACATACCAACAAGACTCAAAACAATAAATTAAGATTGAACCAATAAAAATAATAATAAAAACTGAAGAAAAAAATTAACATATAAAAAAATTTCATTAACAAATTCAATTCAAAATCAAGTCCAAACCAAACTCAAAAAACATTGAAACGCAACTCAAAAGATTAAATTAAGAATGAACCAAAATAAAAAATAAAAACTGGAGAAAAAAATTACAATCCAAAGTAAACTTACAAAGAGTAAAATAAAAATAAAAACTAAAGAAAAAACAAGAATGATACTTCTGAAAATAAAAATAAAAAAGTAAAGAAAAAAAAAAACAATAACAACTCAAAATAATAATAAATTAAGAATGAACCAAATATTAAAAAAAATAAAGAAAAAAAAATAAAAATCCAAAGTAAACTTACCAAATCAACCACTTCTAAACATCAATTAGAAAGAGAAAAATAAAAATAAAACAAAAGAAAAAAAAAATTAACATATAAAAAAATTTCAGCAATAAATTCAATTCAAAATCAAGTCCAACCCAAACTCAAAAAACATTGAAACGCCAACTCAAAATATTAAATTAAGAATGAACCAAAAATAAAAAATAAAAATTGGAGAAAAAATAGTAGAGAGGAAGAGGGAGAAAGAAAGCCGAGAGAAAGAGGGAGAAGAAGGAGAAGGATGGTGAGGCTAAACCAAGGGGCAACGGTAGGAGGTGACTTGTGGGCATGTACTAGGACCAACAGTAGCATCAACGGCAACTCGGGAATCGCCAGCATCAAGGGAAAAGAAGTCAAAGAAGAACGATGTAGAGTTTCGACCAGAAATTCATTAAAGGCAAGTCTTCGTTCTACTCATCCTCATTGATTTCGCCTCCGATCGATTCATTCATAGAATGAATTTAGGGAATTAACATTAGATGGGTTTGACTATATTCATGCTAAGAATGGTTCATAGCAGT